TAATTGTTTTCTGTTGGGGGTGGGTAGTCTGATTAGCTAGAATGCCATTAGTTGAAGTGGAATTCCCCAAGTTCTGTATTTCTACTCTGCTCCTTAGTGTACAACAACTAATTTTCTTTTTGCCTGATAGTTGCAAGATGCCCTGTGGCTGTGGGCATTGTGTCTGAGATTTCTAATGGAATTTTTCGTATTTACATGGTTTTATTTAATTTTAATTTTTATTTCACAGATGTTACTGCTTTATTTATCTCTTTTTTAGCAATTTATTCAGTCTCATTATTAGTTCTTGTTCTGCTTATCTCTTTGACCATTTTAAACATATTTAGAATTTTTGTTGAGCTGTTATATAAAATTAGTTTTTCGTTGAATGAATTTTCATTCTTATTGTTGATGTTTGTTAGTTTGCTTTCTTGGTATTTTTATTTATTCTTGTGTGTAGCATTTTTGATATGTTTATTTTGAGTAGAAATTTTTGAGTTCTGTTGTCTCGCCTTTCCCTTCTTTATTCATCTCTCTCTGTCTAGTAGGTTTCCTGTTGCCTCTACCTCCTTCTCAACACCCACTCTCCATGTAAGAATCTCGTATAAAAATGGGGGCTTAGATTAAGGATATCACAGATTAAGTCATTGAGTCAGTCGTTAACTTGTTTGGTTTCCTGGGTTTGAGACTTTATCAGTGTCTTTTCGCATTCTTAGTTCTGTAACTTTCTAAAAATCCTAAACCATTGTCAGCAGATTTTATAATGTCTTTTACCATTGTTAACAAATTTTTATGAGCCAGGGTAGCACTTTCTAGTCTCTACCCTCAAGCAGTGAACTAGTTCCATTTGAGTGGAGCACTTCTACTCAGAGCTGCTTCATCAAAACCTGAATATTCTACACTATTTGGTAGTCCACTGACCTTTTATTAAAGTTTTGTCCCTTTTTTAATAAAGATGTGATACAATCTGAGGTAAACAACATCACTCATGAATTATGCTTGCCAAAAATGTTAACCTGATTCTAATCAAACCTTTAGATGCATATTTCATTTTAACTGGAAATACAGAGGATAGGGATACAAGTTAAACAACATTTTGGGGAAACACAAATCCAGAATGTGGGACATTCTGTAAGAAAACTAGCTGGACTCTTGAAAAAGTCCAAGACATTATTATTCTGTGTGTGTGTGTATAAACAAATATATAAATGTATGTTAAATATATACACACACTCATATGTATATTTACATATTTAAATTTATTAGATTTATAATATATTTATTTATTTTTTAATGTAGATACTGGGGATTGAACCAGGACCTCATGCATGCTAAGCATGCGCTCTACCACTGAGCTCTTCCCCACCCCCTTATTGTTCTGTTTAGAAGAGAATGAAGACACAAACAACCAAATGCAATGTGTGAACCTTAACTGAAGTTTTGTTTCAAAAGACATACTGACTTTCACAATTCAGTGTTAAAAAGACAAATAACCTAATTTTTTAAATGGGCAAAATATCTGAATAGACTTTTTTTTTCTAATTTTTATTTTGTTGTGGTGGGAGGTAATTAGGTTTATTTATTTACTTTGATGGAGGTACTGGGGATTAAACCCTGGACCTCATGCATGCGAAGCATATATCCCCCCTCTGTGGACATTTCTCCAAGGAAGATCTATAACTGGCAATAAGCACATGAAAACATACTCAACATCATTAACCATCAGGGAAATGCAAATCAAACCCACAATGAAAAATCATTTCACACTCACTACAATGGGTATAATAAAAAAGGCAGATATATCAAGTGTTGGCAAATGTACAGAAATTGAAACCTTCATGCACTACTGGTGGGAATGTAAAATGGTACAGTTGCTTTAGAAAACAATTTGGCAATTCTTCAGAAGGTTAAACACAGAGTTACCGTAAGTCCCAGCAGTTTCACTCCCAAGAATTATGAAAACATGGTCAAAGAATTATGGGAAGGACTTCTGATAATGGCAGAACATGTAATCTAAGCAGAATATAAAAACATCTGCTTGAAAGCATTATAGAGGAAAAAGGAAATAAAGATTTATGGAGCCCAGATCCAGGAAAAATGAAAATCCTCAAAGTTGAGCATGGCCTTTGAGAGCACTTTTTCCATAGAAGCTTTTGCTGATTTCAGAAGAAGCAGCTTAGATAATGAGAAGCAGGTTGAATAGCACTTTTGACAGACTCTTGAAGCATTGTTGGAGTTACTGGAGTTCTAAGAGGAGGTACTGATAAATTAACCACACCTTATGTTAAACCCTGAAAAGATACATCTAGATATGAGAGTATAAAAGAAGTAAACAGGCCCTTACAGGAACAGAAGCCCAGCCTCAGATTATCTATTCCTGAAATTTAATTAGGGCATCATAAATTGATAGTAGGCCTAGCAGTCTTCCTGAACCAAACTAGACGATAGTTTAGAAACCAATATCCAGTTGTGCACTTCTATATATAAAATAAATAAACACAAGGGCCTACTGTATAGCACAGGGACTATATTCAATATCTTGTAATAATCTATAGTGGAAAAAAAATCTTGAACATATATGTGTATATATATATATATATATATGTTTGAATATGTATATATACACCTGAAACTAACACATTAGAAATCAACTATACTTCAATTTAAAAAAACCCAATATCCATAATGAAACACATCTAGAGAAAGAGAACATCATCCAGAGTCTATAATTATTGCTACAATTCTTCATGCATGTCTGATGCACAGCAAAATCAAATAGCCAGACTCAGGAGGACATTGTATAACATAAATGGCAACTAAGTAAACAGCTGGAAAAACAGATTCATAAGGACTCTAGATATTGGAGTTACCAAAGAGACTTTATATTTAATATGTTGAAGGAAATGAAAGAAAAGACAAAAACATTTTTCTTAATCTTCAACAAATTATTGGCAAATCAAGTTCGGAAATATATTGTAGCCTATTTGGTTTTACTTCAGGAATGCATGTTGGCTTTAGCATTTGAAAATTAATGTTAATTCATCAAATTAAGAGAATAAAGGGAAAAAAATCATGTAATCATCTTGATAGATGCCAGGAAATCATTTGATAAGTTCAGCATTTAATCATGGTAAAACCTCTTAAGAAATAGAAATAGAAAAGTGAACTACAAAATCTACAACAAACCTATAGGAAACTTAATAATCAATGGTGACATGTTGAAAATTTTCCCTTCGAAATTAGACTAGGATGCCAGCTATCATCACTTCTATCCAAGATTCTACTGCAGGTCTTAAGGTGTCATACCTTAATAAACAAAGCTGTAAGAATTTTTTAAAGGCAGAAATAAACCTATCATTATTTACATACGCTATGACTGCAAATCCTTAGGATTATAGAAAATCCAAAAGAAGAATCCAAAATAAGGTTGCTAGATGTAAGGACCATTTTTTTTTAAATGAGTTATTTCTATCTAATAGCAAAGAAAGTGAAATTTTATTTGTTTTTTTGTTTGTTTGGTTTTTTTGTTTTTTTTTACA